CTTCGCGCTGAGTTTCTGGTTACCCAGCTCCAGGTGGCGGCCGTTCTTGCGCGCCTGCCGCAAGGACCTCTTGACCTTTTTCACCCGCTCCCGGAGCTGCTTGTTCCGCTTCTCCAGGGTGGCCACTTTCTGCTGCAGTTTCTTGACGTGGTCCTCCTCCTCGAACAGGGCCTTCTGCACCGAGGAGCACATGAGCTGGGGAGAAAAATGCAGTGGAGGGAGAGGCAGGTTAGTCTTGGAAGCTGCCCCGCGGACTGTGGAGTTCCTCACCCCCTTCCCCCCACCCCCACCCCTTGGCCCGCAACAATGACCCTGGCAGCTCTGGTCGCCCTATCACCGCCCCCCACCCCACCCCCACTGTCCCCAGCATGAGAACAAACCTCATATGTCCTTGACTGTGACCTTCCTTGCCCTCCACCCTGGGAATCCCACCCTGACCTCCAACACAAACTCAGCCCCTCTTTGACCGCCTTTCCTTGGTTTCTTCAGAATATTGTGTTTTAAATTGATAGTCTATTTGTTACTGATAGCAAAAAAGAATGTTCTCCTGTGAATCAGGAAGTAAAAGAAAAAAAAAAAAAAACCAAAACAGAAAAACACAGAATATGGACAATTCACAGAAAAGGAAATATAAACATCTCAAACATTTAAAGGATGCCCAGCCCCACTCATAGAAGATTAAAACAAAGAAAAACCATAGGAATAGAAAAAGGGAACAGAATAGTGTGTATAGCGTGATACCAAGGGTATAAAATGTGGCATCCACCCGCACACACTATCTCGGGGAGAATATACCAAAATATGGGAAGGACTCAGAGAGCAGAAGGGAGAGGAGCGAGGACGTTCATTTGTACGGTGTGCCCTTTGGTACGCTCCGAGTTTGGTAGCGTATGCTAGTACTACCATTACACGTGCATGTCTGTGTGTGTGTCTGAGAGGAGGTGTTCTCACTCCCCATTCTTCCTTCTCTCACCTGTTCTACATTACCAAGCTTATGCTTCCAAAGAAAGGCTTGAGCCTTGACTTTCCTCTGCTTAGAAATAACCCGAGTCCTACCATCTCCACTACAATAGAGTGATGTGGTCAAAAGCCCGGTCTCTGAAGCCAGGCTGCCTTGGTTTCCAGTCCTGTTCTTCTGCTTCTGAGCACTGTGACCTTGGGTAAGTGTGTAATGCCGAGGTCAGTGGACTCTGTGCTGCATCAGCCAGAACCCCTTCAAACCTGGAGGTACTGTCCCCCAGCTTCTGACAGCACTTAGCAGGGCCTTTTCTCAGAAACTGCCTCTCACCTAAGAGTGCTCTGAGCTCATACTCTCTCTCTCTAGGGTACCACTACTCAATGTCAGATTGATGCAAGAGCATGAGAGCCAGGACTCCTCATTCCAACTTGGAACATCACTGAAGGGTTGATCTAGCCTCTGAGAGTCCCCTGGAATAGGCTGTCACCTCTGTTGAGACTGCGTCACAGGCCAACTTCTGCTTCTGCCCAGTCCTCCCCTTCCTCCACCTGTCCCAGAGTATCCTCCAAAAACCCTCCTGTACACTATTCTCATCTCAGAGTGTTCTCAGGGAACCCAACTGGCAACTCTTGTTTACTCATGTGTACGATGGGATCATCACAATGTTAGGATTTTATGAGTTTTACTTGAAAGGAGCTGAGAACCAAGCTCCGCTACATAGTAATGTTCACTGTGAACAGTTTTACATGATAGAATTATTATCATTATTACATGATAGAATTAAATTTCTAAAAACCCTTAGCATTTGTGATCAGGACCAACAGTTGGCATAATGGCTATGTCACTGGACTCCCATGTAGTCAACTGTGGTTCGAGTCCCAGACCCGGTGGCTTAAACTCATGCCAGGCTCATGTACATGCGTGCCCAAGATTCTGAGAGGAGAATAGAGGAGAAGGGATTCTGGCGTGGCCTTCTCCCCCAGGCGGGATGATTTCTCGCTTTCTGTCTCTCTGTCTCTCTCTGTCTTTCTGGCAAATGCACATGCCCTATAGCAAAACAAAAACAAAACAAACAAACAAAAAACTCTGAAAAATCTTTTGCTTTTGTGACTGGGCCTGACCTGCATCTCCTGTCTTACTGTATTAATACAGTCCCTCTACTCACACACTCTGCCCAAAGCAGAATGGCTCCTCATTGCTCTTCCAATATGTCTTGTACTTTCCCATTTCCGGGCCTCTACCCATGCTCTGCCATCTGCCTGGAGCACTGTCCTCAACACCCTGTCAGGCAACCTTAAACATGCTCTGCAGGCCCACATTCATGATGCTTTCCACGGCGTAAAACCTGTCCTCTGAGGTCTCTGTGACATCCCATGGTGATTCAGTTCACGTACACCAAACATCTGGTACCTCGCAGCAGTAAGATATATCTCAGCACCCTCAATAGACCGCAGATTCCTTAGGTCCTAGTTCATGTTGGTCTTTGTATCTGTGTTACCCTGGCCATTTTTCTTGTACAGTAAAAAATCTGAGCCAACGGGCCGGCAGGTGGCATGGTGGTTAAGAGTGCTGGATTCCCACATGGCCAACTGTGGTTTGAGTCCCAGACCTGGAGGCTTGCTTTCTCACTTTCCGTTTCTCTCTCTCTGGTCAAAATTTAAAAATGATAATAACAGCAAATGGAATTAAATAAATATTTTTTTAAAAATCTGAGCCAAGTAAAATGTTTCCCAAATACCCGTCATTTAATGAGCGTTAGGCTTGTGGGGCTGCCACTATTATAGGGCATCATGCAACACTGCCCTCTTCTAGTCAAAATAAGACCCCTCAAGAAGGTAAGGTGGGCACAGGAGATTTCCTGGAAAACCCTTATTATTTCTATTGTATGAGACTAGATATTTTCTGTGTATACTGAAGGTTTCAGATGGCCAAACACTGTATATCCACTCTCTCATTAAGCACCCTCTTTCTATAAATTATCATAGATTAAAACACCAACACACTTTATGGGCATCCCTTTGACTGTGGGGCTAGCTGTTCCCCACTCTAGGGGAATCAAAGGAAGAAAATGAATTTCATCTCCAGGAAGACTCACAGCCTAGCCAAGAGGGAAAATTTGACAATTACATGAAGAAACAAAGATGGAATGAAGCAGGCCTTGAAGTGTGTCTGTGTGTGTGAGGGTATCATTTAAGATGAAAATGATAAATTCCAGGCAAGTTGAATGTGCAAGGAATAGATGGGATAAAGTAAGTTCCTTGGGAAATATGTCATTCTCTGGTCCTCACAGCCTCTCCAAATGGGTAGAGTGTGATTAGGAACAAAAAGACATCAGTTGCTCCAGTAACTTGTGCAATATCATCAAGAGCAAACCGTACATAGCCCAGGACTCCTTACCACACAAAGAGTCGAGATTTCCTCAGCAACAGCAGTGATGCCTTTCAAGTAGGGGGAGTCTAGCCCTTATGAATTGAGGTTAACACCATGAAATAATGGAGCCACTGCCAATTAAAGCCACCTAACTAAAGGAGACGTCCTGAATCCTGGCCATCACCTTAAAAGAAAATTCCATTTTTCTTAAGAAAGTAAGAATTTCTAGAAGAGAGCCCTCTTTTCAAATATGTGTATTTTCTTAAGAGACTCTTCTTTCTCTGGAATGCTTTCCAAGTGAAAATCAATCTCAAAAATTGCTTGGAAAAAAAAAAACACAAGAAAGAAAGGTCAAGAAGACATATTATTTGCTCATTCAGTTTTGTGGGGTTTTTTGTTTTGTTTTTGTTTTATAAACTTGAGAAGATGAGGGGAAAAGGCCAGGCCAAACTGAAACAGGTACTGCCACATTTTCTTTGAGGAAGAACCAAAAAGAAACAGTTCAATAGCACAGTCCTGAAGCAACAATTCCCAACAGGTCCATCCTTGGACTTCATAACATGGGTTCGGATGGGCTGAGGTAGAGAACTCATTCGTCTGCCAAAAGCTTAAGCACCTCCAGCATTCTCCTATGACAGAATTTTTCTTTGGAAGTTTCCGTGTGACAACAGGATGCTTGGTTCAGGGCAGATGGGAAGATTGCCATAGGAGAGTCTGCTCTTCTATTTTAAAAAGTTAGACCAGGATATCCATTCTTCCTCTTAAGAGTAATACTTTTTAAAACTATAAAAACAACACATACTGTTTATTCAAAAACTTAAAATATATACATGGGACCAATAAACAAACAAAAGGAAAATTAAAATCATCTGTAATTCTGCATAGTAGCCACTGTTGACATTTTAATGTATTTCTTCCTAGTATTGTTTCTGGGGGTATAGATACATACTGATAAATACCTTAAACCAAAATAGAATTGTACTGTTAATAGAGTTTCTGTTCAAATTTTTTCCCTTGATGTTTTATCATTTCTGTTTTTTGATATTGGCTTTTACACTTCCATTGAGTGTGTCAGTGGAAGCTGGAGGAGGGGGAAGCAGAAGATTTTGCCTAGCCAACATGAACTGCAGACTGGTTACTAGTCATTAATCTTCCCCCATACTTATGACCACAGGTCAAGGGGAAGAATGGACAGATTGGCACTTGTGCATTTGTGAGGCTGAGATCTTAACGTGACCTTTGATTTCTGTCTCCCATGTCAAGACAGATTCATGGAGAGGTCTACTTAGCCTTCCCATCAGAAAGCTCAAGTGTTGTGAGAAGTTTCACAATCAAGATCTTGAGAAGCTAAGAGAATGAGCCCATGCTACTGTCTACGTTACATCTGTCATTCTCAATTGTTTACCTTTCATATGTTTATTCATGCATTCTGGCAAAAAGCATTCTGTCCCTGGCACTGGACAGTACAGAAAATTTTCCTGAGTTGCTCTACAATATATGAATACCCCTTATATCCAGATAAAGAAAAAGAATATTTAAACATGACCATTTTGAGGCAGCAGACACCAAATTCTCACTGAGAAGAGTCTTACCTTTGCAGCTGCTTTCAATTTAATAATCATCTGTAAAGACAAGATAAAATGTACCTTCTGAAATGTAAAAAATAAGGGAAGGACCAATACTGCATGTCCTCCAACAACACAGTCTTTTCACACTTTGTTCCTGTTCTTCAAATTCAAAAATGAGAAGGAAAAAAGAGAAAATTTAGAGCAATGTCCAGCAAGATATGGCCTCTGGTTCGAATATGGCCTACCACCTGTTTTTGTGAATCAAGTTTTATTAGAACACAGCTACACTCAAATGTTTA